GACTCGCAGAATGCTCTTCAATTGGAGAAAATAAACTCTGCCTTATTTGTCCTTTCTCTTGACGATACCACACCCACTGAGCCTAAGGAGGCCATGAGTGTATTTTTACATAATTATGGATTGAACAGGTTAACAGCATTAAAACATATTTTACAAGTACTTAATCTTGTGAGTTGATCCTCCAATTTATCAAATTAAAGCAGAGAAAGAGAGCTAGGGTATAAGCAGGAATATCAAAATAGACTTCAAGTGACATTAGTCTGACAGTCCATGGGTTACAGTTGAGGATGTGGTGGTGTGTGTGTGTTTAATGCAGCATGTACCAGCTGTCAATATTGAATTAAATATTCAATCTTCGTTGGATAATCCTTTGTGGCTTTAGAATCAAGTAACTCCAGCAATGTATGGTGTACCTTAGCTAAGACATTTTAAATAATTACTGAAAGAGAAATAAACTACATGTACATCTTATTATACAGTACTGCAGTGCTAGTAACTTAGTACTGGTGTATCAGTGTTGAATGTTAAGTGGTTTATTCCTAGAGGAAATGAATAAGAGCCTAGTGTTTGTTGCCAATTATGTTTAAGTATATCTTATAATTTGTTGTGTTTATTTAACTTTTAATGATTGCTAAACAACCTCTTCCACCCTCTCTTCTTAATAATTCACTCTCATCATTTCTCTCTATGACCAATACGCATAAACTTACCCTCTCCCTCCCTCTCTCTCCTCCCACAGGTGGGCTGACAAATCACTTCAATTCATAGTGTGTGCTAATTCATCTGCAACCATCTCATTTGAGCATGCCTGGGGAGACGGTGTAGCCGTCGTCCGACTAGCCAATGAGATCTTTGACACTACAATTAACAAACCACGCCCTCTGGCCATACCCACAAGTCTTTCGCCAACCCCAAAGAAATTAGAATTTCGTATTTCGGATCGTGTCAGGGATTACATAGACCTTGCTAGAAATACTCTCAAAGAGAAAGCCGATTCTCTCTCGGTCAATGTGATGCTATACGACACTTTTAACAAGAAGTATCTTAAAGAGAAGCAATTGAGTCCTGATGCCATTATGCAGCTGGCGTTCCAGCTGGCTTATTACCGGCAGTATAAGACCAGTCCCTCTACATACGAGTCCTGCAGTACTGCTGGTTTCAGACACGGGAGGACTGAGACCGTCCGACCTGCTTCCATAGCAACCATGAACTGTGCTAAAGGGTTTGAGGCTGCCAGAGAAGGACAGGGTAAGTAATGATAATAATAATAATAATAATAATAATAATAATAATAATAATAATAATAATAATAATAATAATAATAATGATAATAATAATAATAATAATAATAATAATAATAATAATAATGATAATAATAATAATAATAAACAGTAACCTACACAAGATATGATGAACTGTGTTGAATCAACTGCTGCTGCATGGTTAAGGTTTACCCTGTGCCCTCATGCTTTAGGCTTGTGCCTTTAAAGTGAGGATAAACAAACTAAAGATGGCTGCGTGTCTTCACACTAACCATTATGAAATCACGTGTAATCAATAATATACAAACATATCTGTATGATATTGCCCTATCCTGTGACACAGTCATCTCAAAATTATCATCATCATTATTATTATTATTATTACTTTATAAATTCTCTAGTCATGTTGTCTCAATTGCTTAATTGCTTATAAATTGAGTATATTTGTTTTATTTCACTTGATTGTTGTTCTAATTTGTTTTCTTTTTACACAATAATATACTGTACGTAGGTGTGACAACTAATGAGAAGATTAAATTAATACGTGATGCTGTTTCTTGGCATTCTAAACTAGTACGAGAAGCTGCTACAGGTATGACCAACTAATTTTAGAAATACAGGATAATTAATCATCTCTCTCTCTCTTTCTCTTTGTTGTGACTACCTTCACTATTACAGGCAAAGGGTTCGACAGACACCTGTTTGCTTTAAAGTGTCTAGCAGAAGCAGAATCAGCCTCTGATGTTCCTTTCTTTAAAGATCCTTCTTACAATAAACTGAACAACATTATTCTTTCTACTTCCACTTTAGCAACTCCATCAATAGCTTTTGGAGGATTTGGACCAGTCAATGAAGACAGCTATGGAATTGGATATCGTGTCAATGACCAGTTTTTAGGTGAGACAGGAAAGGAACATGGAGAGATGTATTTGTATGTATAAGACATGTTTGTAGTACACATGTATAGCCAGGTATACTGTCTCTAGACCCTTGCTCTCTTCTCTCTCTATTTCCCTCATTTTATTTTTCTTACAGGCGCTAATGTTTCTACTTATCCCTCACGTGACGGAGCAGAGTTTGTTTCTAATCTCATCCTTTCATTGAATGAGATCTATGAAGTACTAGAGAGCCCGGAATACACCACAGAAAGCAACAAAAAAGAATAATATACTGAAAGTTATTTTATCATTGCAATAGTGAAGGTTTTATCATTGATAAGGTGCCATTTTGTGATAATTTTAATTATTAAAGGGCGTGACCAATGTGGATCACGTGATCAGTCTAGTATTATAATACCAATAATGGCGTCTAAGTGGTGAGGCCCCGAGCGTACTGTAAAGAAAACGAGAGAAAGGAAAAGAGAATATTTCACAGTACCCCTGGAACTATCCAGCAGATATTTTACTGGTAGGAGTCATGGCTCGTAAAGGACAGGATTTAGAGTATCAGCTTAGAGGTGAGGCCTACCGCTAGGGCTGATACTACCGACCAGTTTTGTGTTTGTCTTTTTTGTGTAGAGATAAGAAAGCAGCTCTCGGAGCAGAACAACTGCCTCGAGTTGAGGACAGAGGGAAAGCTCTCCTTACTCGCCGACCTGAAGGATTTCTATAAAAAGAGAGGAGAGGTCGAGTTTGAGTACGCGAAAAACTTGGAAAGACTTTGCGAGAGATTTGAAAGAAATACTAAACAAAGAAATCTCAAGTGATTTGAAATACATACACACATGCTCCATATCACCCCTCTCTCTCTCTCTGCTTACCTTGCCTGTTATGTGATTGTAGTTTCTTTTGTAACATTGTTGTCTTTCTTCTTGTACATGTAGACATGAAGTTCGCTCCACTTTCAATCTCTGGTCGACTCTTCTTGCCGAGACAAGAAGGATGGCTAGAGACAAAGCAAGTTTTGCTGAAGTTCTATCACTTGAGATGGGAGCACGGATTGACATAATGTCCCGAGATGTGGTGTCTATTGCTAAAAAGGTTTGTCAAATTCTACTACTCTCTCTCTCTCTCTCTCTCTCTTCCTCCCTCTCTCCCTCCCTCCCTCTCCCTCCCTCTCCCTCTCCCTCCCTCTCCCTCTCCCTCCCTCTCCCTCTCCCTCCCTCTCTTCCTTTTCAAGTCTTATTCTCTTGCTTACGTAAACTGTGCCATTGTCATTCTGTCCCTGATGCTTTTAATACAATTGATACAAGCAGCTGCTGTTTGTATCAATTTAATACACCAAGCCAGACATTCTCA